CAGTTGAGTTTTCTTGCACTGCTTTATCAGTTCACTTTTAGATAACTGCAAATAGCTTTAGAGATTCAAGCTCTTGAAAACTTCACAATAAAGTTCACCTCTATGTGTAATGTAATTTATTTCCCTTAACTATTAAGCAATACGTTAGCTAAGTTCCCATTTCACAACGCAGTTACACTGGTATAAATGTGAAGTCAGGAGCCTACACCACATTTAGTCAGTGGGACTCAGAGGCTAGGGTATTTTTAAAAAAGCACCCAAAAATAGTAACTCCAAAAGAAACATCCGTAAACCAGCTGACCCTGTGCATTTCAAAGCCATGGGAAAGATTCTTATCAGCTTCAGGGCTTGTTGGATCAGTCTGTTATTTAGGTCCAGGAACTGCTTATTCTTCCCCTCGCCCTGTTCCTCCCCTCTACTCATCACCCTGCACAGAACGTGCTACTGCACAGGCATGTGCTACTACTTCTCTGCCTCCTGCTGCTTCCTAAAAGAGCACGCAGAACAGAAGGGAACGACCTGAAAAGCCAAGCAATAGAATAAAGTTTGAAAAATAAAACTTCCCAACAGTTACAAGCTTCAAAAAACAGCCATCTCTCCCAAGAGCGCTCAGGAATATAAAAACCAAAAAACTGAGTCTAAAGGCAGTTCTGAACGTTATGGATACAGAACGCAGCAAGTTAGTCACCATACTAGAATACAAATCCCTAGCAAGATTTACATTCAAAATATAGTTATCAGAACTTCAAAGAGAGGAGAAGACCATTTAGGTATGTTGTCCCTAAATAAGCCTGGTGAATTAGGCAGAACCCAGATAATACTGAAAAGCTATATTCTAGTTTAGTTACTTGTGAGTCCCATTTATGAAATTTATCATCCAGTTAAACACTAATGATGGAAGAGCTGTGAAGTGTAATTACATGGTAACATCTGAGGAGTAAAATTTTTATACTTTCTATACTAGTTTATATACTGATATAAGCGAGTGTTTATTTGCATACATAAATTTATAATATTGTTTTTGAGTCCAATTTCTAGTTAACTAACACACATTATATAAATAATATTATATGAGCAGAGTTACAGGTATAAGCCATGATTCCAAGTCTAGAGACCAGTTTCATAGCTTATTACAAATTAACTGTTGGATTTGACTTCCAAATTCTAAATGCCAAGGACAAGCCTAATCAAGCTGAACAGCATCTACAGCAATGCAAGATTTGGTGACACAGGGTAGGCCGATCCACCTGGCAACGGCGTGCCCTCCTGCAGCAAGTCTCCCTATCACCCCTGCTTACCATGCTTTCGCCTGCCTCACACAGAGGTCTTGAAGTGCACAAACTGGACTCCCTCTGGATGCAACTAAATCAAAAAACGTATTCCAAGAGCACGTGCACCTGATGTACCGCAATTGCTTGTGACACTCACTCCACGGGATCAACAGGAGAAATCCAGAGTTAGAAGCCTCCAAAGTGCATATAGCGTGGACACAAGGTTGTCAACATACAGTGCTTCTCTCTACAGATCTGCTATTGCTTCACACTCCTTCCTCATAGACATAAAGCTATGTACTTTCTTGCTTCCTCTCTCTTTAGTATGTTTACTGCAACTGTGAACACCGCTCAGATGCCATAGCTTACACACTTACATATATAAATCAGGAATTAATGTTGCCTTCCCTAAAACTAAGAAATTCTGTTGTATTAGTTCAAATTTCCTTAGAAATACCTTACACATACTTCACCAACATTTAAGCACACTATTATAGGAAAACAGGTTACCAAGAGGTAGACCAATGTATTAAGTTTCAACACAGTAGTTGTATCACTGTTAGTGTGCACTTTCTTACCCACAGTAAATAAAAGGTGGTTAAACTCCCTCACACACAGCATTCATGCATGAACACTTATTACAAGCCCTTGTTAGATAACGTTAAGTCATTTATTTTTAATTATTTACTTACTGTTAAAATTAGCACAGCTTACACTGTTTAATATGGATATTGGACAAAAATTGCGCAGATTAGATTTAAATCTAATTTGATTTAAATCAAGCCTTCAAAAGGAGAGATCAGTCAACGAGTCTCCTAAGGGGCAGCCCATGGCTCACCGGGCACCCAAGGCACTGCAGGCCTCCCAAACATCTGGCCCAGCCAGCCGGGCAGGACAAGAGCCCCTTCCCCACTCGATGAATAACCAGCCAGGGGAAGAGCACACAGAGCCCACACTGGCTGCCCTTGCCAGAGAGGCTGTAGTGGGCCAGTTGGGCCAAGCCCAGCTACACCATTCCCGGCATGCTCATCAGCACAAGGCAGTTGTGCTGTGCACAGGGGTGGTGAGCAGCTGGAGCTGGCAGATACTGGTATGCGTAGGCTCACATTATGGTAAGAAGGATGCCTATTGTAGATAAATCAAAGTCTTCCGTGGACCCCTCACTCACTCAAGGTAGATTCCCCTGATGTAAATGTGTTTTGTTTAAGTGTTAAGCACTACTTTGGGAGCGTATCACTAAGAATCACGTTATCTATCCTGTCAAATATCCCTGACGTACGGCACAGGCCAGGAATACCAGTCAAAACCAAAAGGTTTACACCGTTACTTCTATTTGTTACCCGAAGAGCAGAGTTTAATTTATACGATTAGTCACAGAGCTGCAATGACTCGATCGATAACCCTGCAAAAAAACCCACAGAACATCAATTCCCACTAGAAACAACAAAACGCAAAACAAATACAGACACCACAGGTGAAGACCTAACAGAGCTCTGCCCAAATAAGTCTGAAAGTGGTTTTACAGCATCTTTACACTTTTACCTATTGGGGCACATTCATCAGTGAGAGCAACTTACCCTGAAATACGGCTCACCTAATCGGCAGTCACAGTCTACAACACCTTCCTCCCTCTCTCACCATTCAGCACGGTCAGGGAGAGTGAAATCACTGGAGCATAGCAACATACCAGCCATGCCCCAATACTACAGTCACATCACCTACAAAACGCCTACAAGGCGGCATAGGAAAGTTAGACTGGCCCCTCACTACTATTACACCGTGGTAATTCCCTAGCACTGACAGAGAACTGAACCATTTTTCTGTGCCAACTATTATCAAACTTAAGCAGAAGTAGTGCCTACGCAGACAGCTGTTCTTCAAAGTTGTTGTACTACTATAACCATCTAATTCTAAGACAACATACAGGTAAGGTAACTCTGATATAGCTATGGGAATCTAAAAAAAAAATGACTATATCAGATAGGATTGTATCTGCCCCCAAGGGTGCAACTTTAGGGTATCAGCTTTTAAACCAGCCTGGCTACAGCAGCACAAAAGCTATCTGGAGCCCAGTTCAAAGGAGAAGACAAGGAAACAGGCTTCACCGACAGAAGGAGCAGCGTGAGAGCCTGGACACCAATGCCATTTTCTTCACTGTATTTGCGGGGTTTGCTGGAGGAGTTTTGTTTTTCTATCATTTAAATTCTCCAAACAGTGGAGTTGGGCAAGTAAGGGATTATATATTTAAAAAAAAAAAAAAAAAAGTCTCTCTCGCACACACACACACACAGCGCTACACAACTAAACACAGTCACTGATATAAAAAGAACATTCCTGTCCACTTAAGTTGGGCCAGGACATACTTAGCAGAAGTGATAATCTGGCAACAGTACAAAATTTTTTGCCGCATTTTCTGCGGAGGACTTTTCAACTTTCCTCTTGAGTCTTTACAATGGATATTTTAAAGCATACTGACCGTATTATTTCTATCACGACAAGTACATCAGAAAGACGTTGAATAACACTGACTAAAAATTTCTCACTGTATATAACATGAGGTACACATTAACAGGTTATATGAATGCAAAAGTCACAACAAATTGGACGAGTATTAATTATTTCAGAAAGTATAAATCATATAGCTTCAACAATTTCAAGAAATACATTACTTGCAACTGCGAAACTTTACTGTATGCAGCAGTAGAGAATAAACACCAAACCTAGCTATTATTTGGATTTCTGATCTGAAATTATTGTAGTTAGCATTTCTACAGTAAGTAATAATTTTCCTTAATCTTCAGAAAGATTCAAATAAAAAGATGCACTGAAAGTGCAATGAGAGTTGATAACAGTGTGTCATTTAGAAAGGAAAATTTAGTCTGCAAATATTGTACACCTTTATTTAACTGTAATAAACTGGTTTATTCTCTTTTGTCTTTAATGATTTTCTCCACTGGAAAAATGAAGAGGTAATGAAAACACTAGTCGAAAAGCTATTTAATTTAATAAGTTGTAAGTTGGCTCTACCAGACTCCATGAAGAGGAGAGGAGGGGGTGGGGGGAACAGCAGCAGCAAATTTAGACACTTTCTTTTACCAAATATCTTGTTAATTGTAAGGCAAGGAATTAATTTTTCAGTTCATCTGTATCTTGCATTACAAAACCTATGATCATTCAAATTAGCTTGCTTGACCTACTCAGCAATCATAATCATGCTATATACCTCTGAACAGAGGGGGGGCTTGAACTGACAGAGCACCTCCCCAGTCTGACACAACAGAACGCAACAGAATAAAGAGAAAATCCGGGGAGTGTTTGTATCAACTTTTCTCTAAAAAGTAATAATCAATGCTTTTAAATTAAAATATATACCCTATTAAACTGACAGTACTTGCCTCTGAATAAAATATGATTTCTAAAAAGTTACTTTAAACCTCTTGGGCCCAAATCAATAACATTTCATAAACACTACCCATATAAAGCAAATGAACAGGTATTCAGCGTGGTAAAGCAGCACAGCAGTAGAGAACTCAACAGATGTTTGGCAATTACAACCAGTCCAGAATCTAAAGCCAGTATTACAAAGATACATGCACAGTCTCCTACACAAAGGCATCAGGGTTTTTTATTTCATTTTTAATAGGTATTATGTTATATCGTGCAGCATTATACAAGCAAACCCTTCACCCCCCACTGCAATTCCAAAGAGAAGTCAAAGTTATATCTTACCAAGACTGAACTCCAACTTTGGCTCATTTGCGATTCTCTGAATACCTTTTAATATGAGAAAAGAAAGACTAATTAGAAATAATTTGATTTCAGTATCTAGCTTTTTAATATGAACTAAAAGCTTAGCATGTCTAAGTCATACATCGATAACTACCTGCCATTACTGGTGAAGTATCATTTCACAGTAAAAACTCATAGTGAAAGATCTTCTCATGAAATCCTTATCCGAAAAAAAACTAGTTTTGAAGAAGACTTTAACTATGTGTTGCTGGGAAAAGAAACTAAGAAAAAAAAGAAACTCTCATGGATGCGTACTTTAAGATTTTCAATCAGAACAAGCATCTACGTATCTGTCACAAAAAAAAAAAATCAATTCTAACAACTAATTTTAAATGGATATGTCATCACATTAAAAAGGAAACAAAAAGTGTGCTTTATGAAAGTATATAGATCATGTTAATATAGTAAAACATATTACTGTGTTATTGATACGCATATAAATCATCAGACCACAACAACAACAATTTTTTAATCAGGAAAAGCTTACGGGAAAGGAAATTCCTTTTCTCAGATACTCAGGAAAACAAGTAGATTGTAACTCCCTCCATTTCTGAAGTGTACTCTAATAGTGAATACTTTACCACAAAGGGCATTATACTGTTATTGCCGTAAGGTATAGGAGCAAAACAGAACTGCAAGTTAGCCAGTAAGAGAAACATAGGAAGGACAGTTAAATAATACTGAGTTGTTCAACCTCCACAGGAAGTAACTGGATAACAACTACAATACGGATGAACTTTTTAGAAATGAAATTGTCTCATGTTGATGTTTATGTATTGCCTCCAGTGATTGTTATTGCCAAGTATCTGCCAGTACTGAAGAAATTGGTCAGACAAAGGTTTGAGCTGGTATATAAACTAGAAGGCAAGGTTTTTGTTACAAATTCAAAAAATAATTTATAGCTGTTCATGCTCCATGAGAACATGATGTTGCAGAATAGGTCTATTTGCACATTGTTCTCATTACTATACCTAAAAATTCAAATCTGACCTGCAAAATTACAGCTTAGAAAGGCCTTGGTCAGGAGAAAATAGCAAATGTGTATACTTCTTTTCTCAGTAGAGTCATAGCCATTTCTCTGACCCCAAATTTCTGAGTTGATTCCTGCCACTAACAGGGTCAGCATGCTGGTCCGCAACGTTTTTATGGTTTTTATGAGCATGCTAGATATACACTTGATTAAGTAAGCGGGCAACTGAAGTGCAGTGCATTACAATACAGCACAGCTCAGACTCTGGCACACCAAATGTGACTCAACATACAGTTAGGTGCTTTCAAATCCCCAGAGTGCTTTTATATCACAAAGAACAATTCTGTGATACTAACTTAGGTATCACTAATGCTTCCTTCATCAATTTATCAAAGTTATCAGGCTATATTTTAAGCAGTAGCTCACACATTCAAATAGGTCACGGAAGAAAAGGATATTTAGAATTGAACAACTTCTAAAGCTCATGAAGAAAATAAAAGAGAAAAAAGGCAGAAATGTTGTAATCACACATTTATTCCCCTGAAGGGGACTATTTGCATAAATATAAATATATCAAGTAACGATATTTAAAGATAATCTTCATCAGCTTGCTTCTTCTACTACAGTGCATTGTCAATCAACAACGTAAACTGCATTATATAGCCTGTTTGTGACTTACCTGTGCTGCTACAGATGCCGGGGCATTTTTACTGTACTGCACAATAACAAGAGTACATGCACTTACTTGTAAACTGTGGTTCTCCTAGACTGTTTACTTGTGATGAAGGGACAAACTGCCGTGCTTCATCTGACGCTCTCTCTTTGATTTCCATGATCAACCTCCGGAGCTGCTGAATTTTATTCCGTAAGCCTTCCGAGTTTGCTTCTCCAAGCGCCACAGCCCAAGATTCACAATCTGGCTTTGATGTAGCTTCAAGGTAAAGATCTGGTTCTCCACTCTGAAACTCTGCACACAGAAAACATTAACACGCTTTTTAGGAACTCACATACAAAGGGGGGATCATGACAAGACTGATGCCACATACAACTAAAATTCATCATACATCTATTTCTTTGGTTGCAAAACTGGGCACCGTGTCTATGCCTTGAATCAACCCCCTGTACTTTTACGTTCAGTGCAGCACTAAGCCTATGCTACAGAGTTGTTCCAAAAGTAATAAGTGTATTGCAAACCTAGGTGGCAGAATCGCACCAAAATGGGAAATTCTTTTTTAGTACAGATTGTGCAGCTTAGCAGGTAGCTATCAGAACTGCTAACTTAAACAAGAATTTGATTTAGCAGGGGCTGCAGACATGCTTCTGACTGAGAGACAGTGGGATTCACCAAAATGAATGTGTCCATCATTTCTTCTATTAGCTCTGCCCTTTATGCTCAGCCTCTCATTCATCCTTGCCAGAATACTGCTCATCAATACGTGGAGATAATTTAGTATGACACAGCTCCTCCATGAACACCAACCAGGTTGTGCATGGGAGCTTCTGACCTCATTACTATTGCTATCCATAGCTCTTTAGCTGTTCTGTCTAACAAAAGCCTAATTGGCTCAATGACCAAATTCTTTCCTAAGAAAATACAGGTAGTAGAAAGGGTCAGTCGCTAGAATTAGCATGGGGCGAGTAGGGGGAAGAAAAAAACCCATGCCAACACACTTTTAGGCATTTAAAATTCTGTGGTACAGACAGCTTCACAGGGTTGCAAAATTAGGGTGACGTTTAGTGTGATAAACACAACGAAGAACAAACTGAGAAAGAAAGAAAAAATTGATGATTCTTTGAAAGAAGTTACTGATTTATTTAGAACCATCAAACTCCCTAAACATCTGTATTCTATTAATAAAGGTGTGAAATATTTGGTTGGACATCTAAATCATTTTGACCCTAAAAAAGTTGTAGATCATCTTACTGGATAAAATAGAATGCTTAAGTGCTTTCATATTTACTTTAAAAATCCAAGTAACAAAAAAAAGTTTTCTCAATAGAAAGTGAATTTAAATTCCCTTTTCCTGGCTTGAGTATCTAACCTTGGGCACTTATCCACATATGTTATTCTAAACTGGTTTGCCCTTCATAAAATGAGCATCTGTCACTTACAATTAACAGTGCTTTTATTGTTATGGGGGACAAAAGAGCCAAACTTCAAGTCTGGAAGTCTCCTAAAACTGTGTTGGCACAGATCCCAGCAGAGGTGGGACACAGTTCTCTATCTGGGGTGGATCTAAGGAAATCCAAACACAGCTGCAGCTGCTGGTACCAATTCTGACCAAGATTTCACAGAGCAGCTGGGCTCTAGAATTGGCGAGGAACGAGGGGAAGGAGAGCAGAAAGTGGGGAAACGTCCTTCTGACTTCACACGTCATTTATGAAGTGCTAATATGGATTCAAACTCTTGCCTCTGACCCTGGCTCAGTTTGGAAAAGAAGGTATGGTGACAAGAATATTCGAAATCTAAGGGAGCTGCAGATGTTCATCAGATCCTTATTTATACACAAAAAAAGGTATTTATCTTGTGGGACCAAAACTGAACAAACTGACCCTTATTGTTTGTGATCGATTAATTTACAGTCGTAGAAATTTTAGTTATAAATTCTCATGTGATCAACAACTGCAGCTGAGCCATGGGGGCAGTAAACTTCAAGAGGACTTGTAATTAAAAGACTTGATAACTTTTAATGCTTCAATAAGAGCTGCAACAGCACATTTGTCTGCTCCCTTCTGCCACTGATCCTGATTCAGAATTTTGCATATATTTTATCATATTTTAGAACTACCCATAGAAAAAGACAAAGGAAAAAAAAAAGGAGAGCATGCAGTCAGCCAACATTAAGCATCAGAAATAACTATCGAAAATGGATTAAATGTTTATATACATGCAAGACCCCATACAAAATTAATTCCATCTTCAGAAGCACACAGAATTTTAACAGAAGCAGTTTGGATATCCAAGATACCTTTGCTAAGGAAAGGCTGTGAGAAAAACAAACCAAGATCTCACAACCAAAAGGCAAAAGGCAAATTTATCAAAACATTTTTTTCTTTTTGCTCTTTATTTTTAAATGTAAACAGGAACAGTGATCCTGCCTTGAAATAGTCTACCGCTAGCTAGATTAAAAAAAACATCTGCTTCAGGAGGAAATCAATGTTTTGCATTTGAAATCATGCTATTTATATTTACCTCTTAGCTGTGGAAATCAGGCCGTCAAGCACAAAAAGCATACTGAATCAGTTAGTATGCATGGAGCCAGAAATGGATAGTGAAATGCAGTAGGAGTGGGCATAATTCAGTGTGTTCTCGTCTAACAGGTGCCAGTATTGAGATGTGGAAATTCATTCTAAACTATCAGTTCAAAACACTATAGTGTGCTATATTGAGATATTTGGAGTACTCAGACAAGTGACTTGAAAATTCCAAAAAGCATCTGAAAATATCTGGAAAATATTCATCACTCCAAACGTAAAAAGGTTTTATTCTGCAGATTGAACAGTTGGTTAAGTTATGTATTTCACATACTGTTTCAATGCATGCAGCGTTTACACACAATGAATTCACATACTAAAAGAAATACGAATTCTGTGTTAACCATTTTCAGCATGGAATCTTGCAGTATAAGTATGGGTTATAGCAAAGTTGCACAATGGCAAAAGTATCTGTGGCAATAAAGGAGCACCATTTTATTTATAGAACAATCATCTTCACTTTCCTCTCTCAAACTGGTCATGTTGACTATTACTTTAACTCATACATAAATAATAAACCTATCATGCTCAGATACTTGATTTTGAGTTTCAGTACAAAGACAAAACTTAGCTGAGACAAGTCTTCCTGAAAATAAAAGTGTGTATTGACCAAACCTTAGATGCAATGAAGCCCTCAAAAGAGTAGTGGGCCTATCAGCAGAATTATATTTTTATTGAAATGTCCTAAACATGGAAGTATTTCATAAGTGAGCAAAAAAACTCCATATTTTACAATTAAGGAGTTACTCCATTAAATACAAGTACCTAGGCATCTTGTATTTTGCCGTGCTATTGCTGACATGAGCTAGCATAAACTTTGGACAAAATTCTGGCCTTTTGAAAACATTTCCTATTGACTTCAATGAGATCAGTTGTTCTTCGCCCAGTACGCATTCCTAGTTTGAATGTTAGGACACAATCTTTGACTAAGAGAACATGTAAGTTTTAAGAACATAAAATACTACTAAGAGAATTTTCCATCTACTTGGAAACCTACAACAGCAGAGCAGTAATTTTAAACTCTGTATTCGACATCCTCTGTGATGCCGGATGTTCAAGTTCAGTGGCATAAGCCCAAGAAAGAATCCTTCCTCCATGCAATAAAACACAATGGTTTTCCCTCAGAGCTCAATGTTTTACCTCAGCAAAACAAAAGAATAACCCTTCAAAACAAATGTTTAACTTACTAACACTAAGGTCAAAGCAAAATGTTATGCAATTCTATATTTATCTTTCTTTCTTCTTGAACTGTGAAAGGTCTATATAGATACAGAAGTCAATCCAGGACCTTCCAATAGCTTCTATAAACTCAAAAAAACAGAAACAAAGGGGCAGATTTTGAGGTCAGATACTAGGATATTGATGTCACCTACAGCAACCTAGTAGTGTGCACCTTGACAGGTGATTTGCACATATTTAATCGAAATCACAATCTAACTCAGGATTATAGACAGCTTTGTCCTCAACTTTTCCCAAGATATCCGTTCAGTTCCTGGAACTTAACAAGAGTGCTTAAAAGCAAGAGTATTGCTACTACACCAGATATGTTACTACCAGAGCAAATCTAAAAAGGCATGAAAATACCTGTACTCTTCATATTTGCCGTTACAGAGACTCCATTTACTGAGAGAATCACACACTGGTCCACAATTGCAATAACCAACCAGATATCCAAGCACTTCTCACCATCTCTGCACTGTTAGATTGAGCTGAGCTGTCCAACTGGAAAAAAACATCCCAACTACCAACCTCAGGGGAGAGGAGAGGGGAAAAAAAGAGAGACAGATAGACAAAAAAAATATTAATTCTAGCGCATGGAGTGGTCTCTAAAGGTTAGCACTGATCCTTTGGTAACACAGTGGAAGCAAGTGAGCAGTGAGGCCCCGTTAGCGAAGTCTCTGGGAACACTTTCTGCCCTTGCTCTATAGCAGGTGGATGCAGTGCCTTGGACTACATGGACTCATACCCACTTGATCAGGAGCTCTGCTATACATACATTTTTAAGGACAGCTTTGCAGCTCAGAAACTGCCCAGCTTCCACAGCGTAATACCACATTCAGCTAACTTCCCTCAGCCTTGTCCAAAAAGTGCACAGGAACAGAGACGTTTCTCACAGTGCCAGTACGGAGAGCTAACATGGTCCAGTGGCTGCACTGCCTCAAGCACCTTCTTAAAGGCAGCTATCCCACTAACCAGTGTTTAGCTTCCCTTTCAAACCGGGCTGCCCACCTTACTTGCCCAGTAAGGTGGACAAGTACCAGAGACTGCCAGTACCTTCCAGTACCAGAGACTGCCACTGGGGGCAAGGGCTGAGGAAGCAGACACCGGGAGAACTAGCGTGCCTGCTTATAACGTCTTCCGGATTAGCACTGACTAGGATTACGTTATCCTGATTAGCATTTCACTCGCCAGCAATTCTTTTGACAGAAGCTTGACCTCAGACTTCTCCCCACAGAAGCTGGCGTATGAACTTACAGTCCCGCAGGACTTCTGCGGCTCAAATACAGAATTCACAACACCCCTGCTCAGGCAGAACCGCTGTCAAGTACAGAAACAGCACAACACGGAGATACCCCCGGAGGCACTGGACAGCCTTTCCCACTGTAACCCAGCTATCTGAAGCACACAAATGTCTCTTGGTGTTTGTGCTATCACCTTCAAATAACTGATCTTTTTTCCAAGGATCTTGTAATAAACACTTTTATTTTCTAC